TGCTACTGCTGCTGTGTTGCTGCTACTGCTGCGGTGTTGCTGCTACTGCTGCGGTGTTACTGCTACTGCTGCGGTGTTGCTGCTACTGCTGCGGTGTTGCTGCTACTGCTGCGGTGTTACTGCTACTGCTGCGGTGTTGCTGCTACTGCTGCGGTGTTGCTGCTACTGCTGCGGTGTTACTGCTACTGCTGCGGTGTTGCTGCTACTGCTGCGGTGTTGCTGCTACTGCTGCGGTGTTACTGCTACTGCTGCGGTGTTGCTGCTACTGCTGCGGTGTTGCTGCTACTGCTGCGGTGTTACTGTTACTGCTGCGGTGTTACTGCTACTGCTGCGGTGTTACTGCTACTGCTGCGATGTTACCGCCTTTAACGCCTATGCCTCACCCACCACGAGGCGCTGCCACTGCCGTAGAGTCCCCATGATATCCGTGTGACGTCCTTAACCATGACATTTTCTTTTTCTCAATTCTTACCTCCCCCCCATACAATCCACACAGCATGGTATAAAATCATGTGTGTCATAATATAGATTTTATATTACGAGACCCCTGATGAATCTTCTTACTCCCTCAACCCAATGCGGTGTAACGTTGTTCCCCTCCCGACTCGATCTAATGTGGAAGATATCGGATCATAGACACGATAACGAAATGCGGTGAACTCACGTATATGTTGATCATGCCATTGTCTTCCCGCGTGCATTTCTCCACCAGCATGTCCGCCTCCATCGTAACCTCGGCAACCTGAAACAACACAAGAACGTTCCTCGTTAATGTCAATATTCGTCACGCGCTGCTGGCCGCTCACGGGGAGGGAAGGAAGGGATGGATGAAGGAAGAGAGGAAGGCAGGACGGGAGGGAACGAGGAGGCGATAATCGGAGGAGGAGAGAAAGAAAGGGAGAGAGGAAAGGACAGCGACAAAGAGAGAGAGAGAGAGAGAGCCACTAGGAAAGAGAGTCATGGAGAGAGAGAGAGGGGAAATCAGAGAGGAACCACGAGAGAAAGCGAGAGAGAGGGGGGGAGAAAGAGAGAGAGAGAAAGAGAGCGCGCGCGAGAGAGAGCGAGAGAGAAAGAGAGAGAGAGAAAGTAAGAGAAAGAGAGCTGGCCCTCCCATTGACACGTGACGTCATCGTGGTTCCGATGAATCGAGAATAGACAATCATGATGTGAACGGCAGAACATAAGATGGCTTCCGAGTTCAATTTGCAGCGAGTCGACAACCGACACCGGCTTCTTTTCAATTTCGCAGATTCGCTCGCTATCTAATGATGGAATGATTGTATACGTGCACTTCTATATTTGCTTTCCGGTGCCTTGCTGCTTATAGTGAGTGTCTATAGGCACTGCCCGTATTCATATATCCTGATACTATACACTCACTAGTGAGAGAGATTCTTTATGATCTCACTTATCTCCTATACCCACCGCACCCAGCTCTCTCTCCTTCTTTCTTTCTCTCTCTCTCTCTCTCTCTCTCTCTCTCTCTCTCTCTCTCCTCTCTCTCTCCTATCTCTCTCTCTCTCTTTCTCTTTCTTCTTTCTTTCTCTCTCTCTCTCTCTCTCTCCTCTCTCTCTCTCTCTTTCTTTATTTTCTCTCTCTCTTTCTCTCACTCTTTCTTCTTTCTTTCCTTCTCTCTCTCTCTCTCTCTCTCTTTCTTTATTCTCTCTCTCTCTTTCTTCTTTCTTTCTCTCTCTTGCTTTCTCTCTCTCTCTCTCTCTCTCTCTCTCTCTCTCTCTCTCTCTTCATTCTCTCTCTCTCTCTTTCTTCTTTCTTTCTTTCTCTCTCCACTCATTCTCTCTCTCTCTTTCTTCTTTCTTTCTCTCTCTCTCTCTTTCACTCTCACTCTCACTTCTTTCTTTCGCTCTCTCTCTTTCTCCCACCTCTCTCTCGCTCTCTCTCGCTGACCCTTTTCCCCAGCGATATACGCCATAATCTCACTCCATCTTTTGCCAGCTTTTCATTCTAATTGATCGGTCGACGGGACACCGCACGTGTTGTCACTGCTTTCGCGAGATTCTTGAAGAATTCCTGTCAGAGACAATGTTTGTTGGCAGGCAAACTTATCACAGCATCGCTGAGCTCTTTGCAGTTTTCCGTCAGCTCTCTGATCGAGCTGCTCAAAGCTACGAACTAACAGCGCTGTGAGCAGTAGACCGGCGCTGCTTTCTGTGATGACTGATGAAGTATGCGCTGATGGGAGAAGCCGCGGCCGTTGAGCCCGTGATTTGACTCTTAACGACTTGCAGAGTCAGTCTACATACTAGAGAGCACCGTTGCCAGCTGCGGGCAAATATGAAGAACGCATCGCGAGTGTCAAATCAGGTGTTGACGTCGACATCTTTTATCGCTTCTTCGCTCATCCGTCTATTTCCATTCTTCGCACGATCGTCATCGGTCGCGATCATCGCATAGAATTTATACGCATCATCGTTTACACATATTTATTCGCGCGAGAATTTCATTATTCATAGCCTATATACGATGCAAAGTAAAACGATGTACAAGGATGCGGAAAAGCGAGAGCGTGGAGATTTACAGTGAATGTAATTAAAGGATTTTATCGTGTTTTGCACCCATTCATCATCTTCGTCTATCGCTCTGTGTATGCTAAGCAGACCAGTAAACGGCCAAGGCGACATCTATCGCGCTCTGTTTCTCTTTCTCTTTCTTTTTCTCTCTCCCTCTTTCTTTTTCTCTCCCTCTCTCTCGCTCGCTCGCACCACGCATGCACTGCATAAACCAACGTTGACTACATCCACTAGGCTACTGCTGCTACAACTGCTGCTGTGACTGCTACTACTACTATTACTGTTGCTACTGCTACCACTACTACTGCTGCTGCTGCCACTGCTGCCACTGCTACTGCTGCAGATGGGGTCGTTGTCGTATCAGGTACTACAGATATGTACCCGAGGTAGTTTTAGGTTGTTTAGTATTATATGTTTATATTTTATATAAGGTAATGTTTTAGGGTTAGGGTTAAGGGGCTAGGTTCGGGTTAAAGGCCTAGGGTTAGGGTTAGGTTTAGGGTTAGGGTAACTTCTGTAGTAAGCAAGTACTGGTAAACTTTGATGTATACCATATATGTACCTCGGGTACATATCTTAAGTAGCCGTGATAGACAAGCGACCCCGCGTTCAGCGGCTACTGGGCTGGCCACTGCTGCAGTGAGGTCTGCTAGCTGTATATATATATATATAATATATTATATGGGCAAGTGACTACTACTATTGCTGCTGTTAACTACTACCAACTACTACTACTGGCTAGTGCATATTGCTGTTGCTTGCTGTTGGTGTTAATAAACTATACCTAACCAATTGACATTATCGATCACTACCGGCTACGACTGGCTAAGCTACTGGCCTACCATCCTACCAGGCTATATACTATATACTATACATATATATACTATTGATAGACTCCTGCTTCTACTACCACGACAGGGCCTATATGTTATATACGCTTGCTGCTAAGCTTCGTATATAAATGCGTCCGGCGTAGCAGTTTTATGAGGCAGCTGTCACATCTAAACAACGATTCCACGCAGACAAAACGACGCAATATTACTGAAGAATTCTACCGAAGCGAAGCGAATCACATATAAAGAACTATAACCGCGCGGCATTAGATTAAACGATCGCTGATCTTGCCTTACTGTACTATGCCCGCAGTTTAATAAACATGCAGTCACTATCAGTGTTTCTAGGAATCTATAAACACGACTACAAGCCGTATAAGTACACGTTGGAGCGTGAGTTCATTACACACGCGTACGAAGTTACGAACCCACTGATGAGATATGTAAACACGATACAGGAAGTGGCAAGGTGTCGTAGCAAGGTACTACAGATATGTACCCGAAGTACGTATAAGTGTATACGACAAGTGTACGGCAGAGCTGTATCTTCTCAGCATATTATGTACGCGCGTGTGTTTTATATAAACGTACGCTGCCCCGCGGGCAAGGACATATGGAAACCACGCGAATAAAGTAGCGAGAAGTTGTAAACCAGTTCAAACAAGAGAACACAAACGCCGATCTAAGTAAGTTTGCTGATGGTATTTTTGTCATGAAAAAACAAACACATATTTATAGCTCATTAATCATAACATGAATAATAATCAACTATAAGATTGCAATTCTTATGTGCAAATGATGTGACGTGGAAGGCGAGACTTCCGGCGCTGGGTAGCATTTATGGAGGCAGGCGAGGCGGTACGGCGTCCATGTAGAAACAACATTTGTCAGGTAGCACATTGTGTATAACATATATGTACGCGTCGGGTAAGCATATCTGTAGTAGGCCTGATACGACAACGAACCCCATCTGCCAAAATTCAGCCATCTCGTATCAAGATATACTGCTCCCCCAGCAAGCTTTATACAACATTAGCAAGGTCATACATTCGCCCGCCCCTGCAAATCAATATATGACTGTTAGGCAACATGAGTCCTAGTATTAGAATCTAGCTAAAGGTCGGGTGCGCGCATAAGTAGTGTAGTTGTAGGAGCGAATTATACTAATGATTACAATCATGTCATCGTGCGTCCGTCGTCGTCGTTGTCCATCATCATCATTATCATCATCATCATCATCATCATCGATCCATCATCATGCATGCATCATTATTATTATTATTATTAATTTATTATATACTCCGTGCGAAACAGTGCGATATAACACATCTATCATTTATGATACCCTCCGGGACTCTACACATGAA